TTCATCTTTGTGTCTTTGGTGCAATGTCTGGTCTTGCAGGTCTAGTTGAGAGATCATTTGAGGGTGTTAGAGCCACCACGACATCATCTTTATGAGCCATCATAGTACCGATCCAAACGAGTCGTGGTGAGACTCGAGTCAGAGGACGAGTGGCTACAGTGGTCGTTGGCACGGAGGCCGAATTAGATTCTGTGGAGATGTGATTGGTATGAGATTAGGAGGTTTCTAGTTTAGTCAGGTAGGTTCCAGATGGCTTATCTGCTTGGCATGGATAGCATCACATTTTATCCTAATTCCAGGCTGATGAGACAGATGGGGCATGTTCAAGGGCTGCCACCAGTTGGAGCTCTTTTTTGGGATATACTGATTTCTCCTAGGGTTGCTGTGGCCATACTGGGTGGTTGGTCGAGAGAGGCTCATGTAGTAGAGGCTAGAGCTTTTGGGGGCAGGACTGCTTCTTACGAGGCTTGGTAGGTGGCTGAGCATGGTGACTGGGAGAGGGAGCATAGAGCGACTCTGACTCCGGAGATTGATGCTAGACTCTGAGTCACGACCGAGATGACCCTCAACTCTACCCGAAAGGCTAACCCAAAGGACCCTAATGACTCTAGGGATAGGCATCCGATACGGCGCAGACGGCTTGCCTAGTCTTTCGGTGCATGCCAACCTTATCTTAATAGGGTAGGATTTTTTTGTTCTTTTAGCTCTAAATCAACCCGTATTTTTTGGTGAGGGCTTTGAGATAGGACACTGACCCACGATGTATAGAGGGTTCAGTTGACATTTTGGACTTTTGACACTCTGGATAGTGGACACATATAGATAGCTGACACAGATAAATAACAGAGATAGATGCCTAGATGATAGGGCTTTTGTGATTTTCTTTTTACATAACTTATACTGGTTTGGGATTGTTTTCGTACCGCCCCCGAGCAACCCAAAAAACGTCCCTCTTTATTTTTTTATGGGAAAATGGTTTTTTATTTTGAACAGTGGTGACAAATCATTTTGGATACAATGCCGATAAATCGGTCTTATAAAACATTTTGAGTCGCCACCCATTTTTTCGGAAATGGGACCGTTTCCAATTTTATAAAATGGTATTTTTTATTTTGGAACAGTGGTGACAAATCATTTTGGATACAATGCCGATAAAATCGGTCTTTGGATACAATGCCGATAAATCGGTCTTATAAAACATTTTGAGTCGCCACCCATTTTTTCGGAAATGGGACCGTTTCCAATTTTATAAAATGACTTCATTTTAAACCCAATTTTATTTAAGGCCAAAATATTTAAAAGAGTGGTCCAGCAAACCAATGAGGTTTTGGGTAAGGGAATTGCGTACGCCGGCCCATTGGAAGCCGACGCCCGGAAATCGACCTCTTTTAACCTACGATTTCTAATTTATTTGAGTTAGAAAAGCCAAAGTATTAGTTTATTTAAACCCAACCTGAATGAATCGAACTGAGTTCTTATATGAAAAATTAATTAATCGTCCCAATCAAATTCAATCTAATTCAACCATCGCATCCATAATCATCCAAACCATTCAAACCAATGCAGTTAAAACAAATAAATAAAAGACCTGCTCTTGCCTTATGGTTAAAGGTGGGCCACAAACCAAACCTAAAAATACATTTTATCCGATTAAAATTTAAACCCGAAAACCAAAAACCCAAAATCATACATAATTACATTTTAATATTCTAAACTTAATTAAATTGCAATCTGTTCACAATTGGTTGTCTTCGGATTTATTAGAAAAATTAAATTTTATTTTGTACAAAATTCGTTAATTTTTGAAAGAACAAAAAAAAAACTATTTCTGGAACTCTAGAACAGTCGCGTCACACAGCTGTACTTTGGAAGAACAGTTGCGTGACGGATCTAATAGTCGCGTGACCTAACTGTTCTTAAAACTCCAGATCCATCAACTGTATATTTTAGATTCACAATTAAAAATAGAATATTAAAAATAAAATGAAATCGTGAACATGAACAGTCCCATCACGGAACCTCCGGATCCGTTACGGATCTGATAGCTGCGTGACGCAACTAATCTGGGTAAAGAAATGACATTTTGGACATGAACAGCTCCGTCACGCAACTGCCAGGTCCGTTATGGATCTACTGGCTGCGTGACGCAGCTGCTCTGGTCCGTACTCACTTTTCAAACAACTTATCTAAATCGTTCTTTTATTTAAACATGCTTTAATAAGATCTAAAGACAACCAAGAGTGAACAGACTACCGTTTAACTAAGATTAAACTACTAAAATAATAGCAAAATAAAAAACAATAAATAAAAATACAAAGAAAGGTTCAAAAGAGTTACCTAACCCTCAGACTGAGGATTATAAACAGCTTAAACGCCTTAAAGAATGACGGTTAATCATTCCAGAAGCTTTGTCCATAAGGATTTAAACGCTCACACCTTTCTCTCTTGCTTTTTTCCTTCTTTTATGATTTTCGTTTTAACCTAATTGATGTCTAATAGCTGTTTTTCTTCAAGGGAACTCAGAAGAGTCTCTGGAGAAAAACTTAACCGCAAGTGTGTGTTTTGACGCCCTAAAAAACCAGTCCCGAATAAGAGATTAAACGATGAATTTATAGAAGTAGGGCAACAGGGGATAGCTGCGTCACGCAGCTGACGGCTGCGTTACAGGGCCGATAGCTGAGTGATGCAGTTCACTTTCTAGACCGCTGCCACGTACTCAGACAGAATAAAAAGCCGTTATGTCGGCATTCACGGTGACGTCATCTTGATTGGAGTTGCGTGACACAATCGACAGTGTCATCACGCACCTGATAGCTGCGTGACGCAACTCTTACGCAATCCAGACATTAGGAGTTGCGTGACAACAATCGAACGAGTGTCAATCATTCACGGTGACGTCATCTTGATTGGAGTTGCGTGACACAATCGACAGTGTCATCACGCACCTGATAGCTGCGTGACGCAACTCTTACGCAATCCAGACACACTTAAATTTGTCTAATTTAAATCCTTGGATTAAAATACTTCTGGATAGCAATAACCCTTCATTTCGCATCCTCGTATCCTCATTGGGTTAGGTGAGGGCATAAAGACACGCGTCAACAGGGATATGTAAAATGGGAATCATGTCGACAATTTTAGAAAGGAAAATACAATCTTATCCTTCACGAGATTGCTGCTTTTGAACCTTAACTTTTGCCTAAGCCACCCTTCCGAGTTTTCAACTCAGCAAGATGCCCTAACTTTTGCCTAAGCCGCCCTTTCGGGTTTTCGACTTAGCAGGCTGATATTGATTTTGCTTAAGCCGCCTGTCCTTGTAGGTTTCAACTTAGCTTTTGATTAATTTTTTTATTTCTTTTTCATTAATTGGCATAGAAAATCAGGAATTTTCATAAGAAGAGGAACAAAAATGTATTTTTATTATTATTGTGATCGCACCCACAGGCTAGGCTACCTACGTATCTCGTACTTTCGAAACATATTTTCGGGAGTCAGGTCACCATACTTTTGCTTTACAGTGACATAAAAGGGGCAATAATTCTAGTGCTAAGGCCTGAATGCATTCACACAAAGTATCTTTTGAGTTTATCCAAGTTGCATGGATTGGTGAATTCCTTGCCATCAATGTCTGACAGGATGACACCACCACTGGAGAGAATCTTCTTTAGCATGTAGGGGCTTGCCCAGTTTGGCCTAAATTTAACCCAATGGTCTTGCACAAGAGCTCTAATTTCCTTGAGCACAAGACAACCTTCTTTGCGTTTTTGCTCTCGGATTCTTTTATTGAAGCATCTAGATATTCTCTGTTGGTAGCTCTAAATTTGATTAAGAGCCTCTAGCCTTTTCCCGTCAATAGCATTTAACTGGTTATGATAATTATGAGCCCATTCTGCTTCTGGCAATTGGCTTTCTTTCGTGACCCTCGCTAATCTGATCTGAACTTCAATGGGGAGGACTGCTTCCATCCCATATACTAATGAATACGGTGTTGCCCCAGTTGGCATTCTGATGGAGGTTCTGTATCCCTATAAGGCGAAAGGCAAATGTTCATGCCAATTTTTGTGATTGTGAATCATTTTTTTGAGGATGTTCTTGATGGAGTTGTTGGCTACTTCCACCGCTCCATTGGTCTGGGGCCAGTATGGCAAAGGTCGGTGGTGCTTTTTCATTAGAGTGGGAACCTCTTTCTGAAAGTTAGACCCATTATCTATTATGACCTCAAAAGGAATTCCATACCTGCATATTTTGTTCGTCTGGATGAACTGAGCTACTTTTCTAGAGTTTAGGACATGATAGGAAGCGGGTTCAACCCATTTGGTGAAGTAGTCAATGGCCATCATGATGTACTCACGTTGGTTGGAAAACTTAGGGGTGATTTTGCCAATCACATCAATTTCGGAGTTTGGCATAAATCTAGCATTTATGACATTTCGGGCCAATCACAATCAAGTTTCGGAGTTTGGCATAAAAAGCTAGCATTTAATGACATTTTCTGAATAAACTTTGTGCAGTCTGATCGCGTGGTGAGCCAATAATAACCCGCCTGAATTGGGGTGATCTTATGGGAAGAAGGCCATTTTCATTCATGTGAGGGCCTTCCTTCTCCGTGAGGGCCTTCTTCTCCGCCATGCACCCATTCCATTATCCGTTGAGCTTCTTCTTTAGTTATGCACTTGAATGTGCTTGGTTCCATGTTCGCTTAAACAAAATAGCATCCTTGTAGAGATAGCCTTTTAATAACTCCCAGAGAGTCCTCTTGTCATATTTAGAGGCTTCTTCAGGGTATTCTTCCTTTTCTAACCAAGTCTGAATATCCCAGAACAAAGATTGCCATTGGCAAGCTGGAGATTGTAGCAATAGGTTGGCTGTTGATGAATCTGAACATTCAAAGGCTTGATAACCATGTTGGGGTTGGCATCAACCATGGAGGCAAGAGTGGCTAGTGCATCGGCGAACTGATTTTTTGCCCGAGGCAAGTAATGAAATGACAAATCTTTGAACTACTGAGCCAAATGATCGAGGTGTCGAAGATATGGGAGCAAACGCTGCTCTTTGATCTTCCACTTCTTTAGTGCTTGGGAGACTATCAGGATGGAGTCCCCATAGATTGTTAGGCGCTTAATCTGAATACTCAAGGCTGCTTCAAGTCCGACGATACATGCTTCATACTCTGCTTCATTATTAATGATCTGAAATGCCAACTTAATGCTGAAGGGCAATCGCTTCCCATCTGGAGTTACTATAACTACACCAGCACTGCAACCCTGATAGTTAGCAGCCCCATTGAAATACATCTTCCATTGGTCTGCTTGGATCAGGAGTATGACCTCATCTGGAAATCTGACGTATTCTATTTCGGCATCCCTGGGGGATGCTGCTAAGTGATCTGCTATCACACTGCCTTTGATAGCCTTTTCTTTGCAACAAACCTCAAATCAAATGCTGTAAAGATAGTGGCCCACTTTGCCATCTTATTGTCTAGAACCAGCCTGTCCATAAGGAATTTCAAGGGGCTCTAGTCAGCAATTGCATGAGTGGTGTAGGAGCAAAGATAATGTTAGAGCTTGGTGCATACCCATGCCAGAGCTAAGCATAGTTGTTCGATCTTACTATACTTCAATTCTGTTGCCAGTATGCACTTACTCAGGTAGTAAACAGTATTCTCCATATGAGAGTCCGGTGCTTCTTGCACTACAAAAAAAACGCCGATTTGCGATCGATTTTTGCAACCGACTACAATCGGTCGCAATTTTGCGACCGATTTGCGACCTATGGACAAACAGTCGCTAATTGTAGCGCTAAAAATTCCCGCGATGACAACAGTCGCTAATTGTAAGCGCAAAAATTCCCGCGAGTTTATTTTTAGTTTGCGACCGATTTTGCGATCGATTTTGCCGACTTTGCGACTACATGTTATTTCGTCGCAAAATTGCGCGCTTCAAATTTAGGAGTAAATTCTGCGACCGATTATTTGCGACCGACGTTTTCAGTCGCAATTTTATTGCTAAGTAAAACGACGTCGCAGAGTTAAAATTTACGACCGATATTAATGAAATTTGCGACCGACAAATTTTAGGGCTTTAAATGCCAGATGCCTTCCTTCTTCTTTCTTCTTCTTTCTTTCTTCTCCTCCTCTCCTCTCTTTCGTTCACAGCGCCGCTCCAGCCCCTCCTGACGCCGCTCCAGCTCGCTTGACGCCGCTCCAGCCCCTCCGGTCACTCCATTGCTATTTGGACACACTATTTGGACACAAGTTTGAGGTATTTTTTGCGATTTTTTTTTTCCGATTTTTGTTTTCTTTACGATTTAATGTGTATTTGGACATAATTTGGTATATTGTTGTGTTTGATAGTTAGATTAGGAATTAGGTACTGTTATTATTAATATATATTATTATTATTAATTATTATATTATTATTTATTAATTATTATTAATTATTACTACTTTTATTCTTAAATATTTGTTACTTTTTATTATTTATTATTATTATTTATTATTATTATTATTATTCATTATTATTACATAAGAGAGACATTAACTAAATCCAGATGGTTTTGTATGAGAAAATAAGGAAAACTCATTTTTTGGCAATGTAGAATGACAGAAATCTGGTGCCAGTAGGTGAGGTTCTTGACTCTTGTCTTAATTTTAATAATCTTATTTCTTATATAGGTCAATATTTTATGGACTTTTAGATGATGTTTCTTTTTAATTATTTATTATTTTGTGTTTTTTTTTTTCTTTTCTCTCTAATGTTTGGTCCTTATAAAACTGTTCTTTGCCACCCTACTTTTTGTTTTAATATGAAAATACATTGTAGATTCTGTTAACTTCAATGGCGAGATCTTTGCAAGTCCAGAGTTACTGCACTACATTGAGACAAGAGATAACATGGCAGCAAGAGTTCTAAGTAAGCTTTTTTTTATGGGGAATTCTTTCCTTTTTTATTAAGTTGAATATTAAAGAGATGCCCCATTTATTGATATTTTCTTTCTCATTTTGGAATTAATGATTAATGATTAATGATCTAATGAAGGATGAAACTGAAATTTACAAGAGCCTTCTTCAAGAATGGTCATCAATCAAATTCAAGATAATAAGGGAAGATTCAAGTTCCAATGGAAGAGCATAAAAATGATGAGGAAGAATGGCTAATGGGTATCACGAAAGCAATTGTTTTTTATTTTGATTTGATTTTGATTTTAATTTTAGACCTTTTTAGCTTTCCAGTTGTTTTTTGACATTTTTTTCGGTATAATAATAATTATATTTTTATATTGTTTTGAATTGCGTTTGTGATATATATATGTCAATTTTCACAGGTGCGAAAAAATTATGTTTCTGTAATAATATTTATTTTTTAAAATTTTTTTCAATTTTGCGACCAATTTGCAACAAATTTGAGATCAAAAATAAAAATTTTAAATTTACAGTTTGTGACCGATTTGCCACAGAATTTCATTATTGCGACAGATTGATTTTGCGACCAATTTGCGACAGCGTTTCCAAAGGAAAATGCGACCAAATTTTGCGACCGATTTTTCGGTCGCTAATTTGCGACCGACGAAAAAATCGGTCGCAAATTTTTTTGCGACAAGCATTTTTGCGACCGACATTCATCGGTCGCAAATCGGTCGCTAATGTTATTAGCGACCGATTTTGTGGCATTTTGTCGGTCGCAAAATGCCATTTTTTTTGTAGTGTTGGAGGCTGAACGACTGGAGTATTAAGTAAATATGCTTTGATTTGTTCAAAGACTTTCTAATACTGGCCATCCTAAGTCTTTGGGGCATCTTTTCTTAGCTTCTTGAAATCGGTCCATAGGTGTCTGCTAACTACGAAATGAATCGACTAATATATTGAAGGCGGCCTAAGAACCCCCGAATCTCCTTTCTGTCTTAGGAGGCTACCTCTCTAGGATGGGTTTTGACTTTGATCGATCAATCTCAATCCCTCTCTTAGGGACCGTGTAGCCCAGGAAGATACTAGATGGAGCCTCGAAGAGGCATTTAGCAAGATTAAGTTTCAAGTTGTACTAGCAAAGTTTGGAGAAGAATTGCTTAAAGGCGATCAAGTGGCTCGACCCATCCCTAGTGTGGACAACCATGTCGTCAACATATACTTTTATGTTCTTGTGCATTAAGTCATGAAAGATCGTGGTGGCCATCCTCTGATAAGTGGCACTGGCATTCTTTGGCCCAAATGGCATCATTCTGTAACAAAAGGCACCCTATTCAGTGATGAACAAAGTCTTCAGCTTATCTGGTGGATTGACCAGTATCTGATTATACCCTGGATATAAATCTGTGACTGAAATCGCACTAGACCCTTCCATTCTATCAATGAGCAAGTCAATATAGGGCAATGGAAAGTCATCTTTGGGGCATGCCTTGTTCAAATCTAAGTAATCGATGCAAATTCTGCTTACCATATTTCTTGGGAACCGGCATTATATTTGTTAGTCATATCGGGTAGTCTATATCTTCAATAAAGTTTTTCCCCAACAGCTTACCTGTTTCTTCTTTAATCCTGACGAAAATCTCTTGTTTCTAGCTTCGAAGCTTCTGCTTTACTGGCTTAATGTGATCATATATGGGGATCTTGTGAATGGCAATGTCAGGGTCTATACCGGTCATGTCATTAGCTATCCATGTGAATGTGAACCCCTCCCTGGAAAACATAGGCATATACATGCATATGACTAAGGGCAGAAATGCACGTGAATGTGTGAGTCGCCACCTTGTTTAATTTTTTTAGGGTAAACTAGGAAAAAGTCGCCACCATCTTTTGTTTAATTTATTTTAAGGGTAAACCCTAGGAAAAAACCCTAAGATTTGGGACTCAATTTTTTAATTAACCTAAGTCTGGCAATTATCCCAATGTTTAAGGGCATGGTCCCCTAACGAACCCGAGGTGGATCTCCGAGACTATGTCATGCTCATAAACTAACCATGAAGAAATGCTTTGCAAAAGGATAAAAAGACGCAATGAAATGTTTAAGTGATTTCGACTTGTCGCTCGGGGTTAAATCCCAAACGTGCCCTACGTACCTTCCGTTGAATTGGAAGTGGTGGAATACTCAAATTTTGACCTTGACTAACAGTAAACTTGACTTTTCTCAGTGTCAATGCCGACTGCAAACAGTCTCGGCCGGACCGAGAGCCATTTTGGACCATTTACTGGAAGTATGTTCCAATATGGTACTTGAACGTCCTAGAATTTCACGAGGATCGCAGAACCGTCCCCCCGGCATATTTTTTGGAGGTCCGAAATTCCCGGGAAAAGCCCCGGAACGAAAAAAAGAAGAGAAAAGAGAAGGCACGCATGCCCGCCCAGTCTAGGCCGGGCATAGCCCACTCAAGGGGCGGGCACGGCCCGCCCTCGTGGGCGGGCAGACGCGCCCAGGGGCGGAGCATTTTCCTTAAAAAATACGGCCCCAGGGCTCCGTTTTGAGACATCGGTCTGTGTGTGACGGACGCTCCTTCCTCCCTTACGCTCTTAGCGCATTCCTTTATTGCTTTCTTGGCATAATTTATCTTATTTTTTATTTTTTTTTTTTAGTTTGATTCTATTGTTGTGATATTTGATCACTCAAAGTTAAAATTTTAAGTGGCCATTAAAACTCCATTTTAATTAATATTTCCCTTAACGAGGAGCTTAACCTGGAGTTAAGAAGCGGTCGGAGATTAAATCAGGTACACAAACTAAACTACGCCTATTTAATTTTAGCACTTCATGCATGCTTCTTTTCTACTCCTATTAACTCTATAACTGCCTAAATGCATCCATATCATCCACTAGGCAAATAAATTGCCTCAATCAAATAAAGATTAAGTTTAAACGCCCGATTAATTAATAATCGTGGTATTTTAAAGCTTAAATTCGACGATATTGGCTAAAAGCCTAGTTAATCAATAACTATGGTGAAAGAGCCTTATTTCGAACAGTTTTTTGGCCTAAGTCTAATTAATCAATAATTGTGACTTAAAGGCCCTGATTAAACACTTTTTCTTTTTATGGCAATTAATTGCCTATATTTCAATTTAATTAATCACTTTAGGCAAACAAATTGCCTATAAGTGACAATTGATTCTTTTTTATAGCGACAAATCGCTTAAAGCAATATTTTGGCTAAAAGCCTTTAATTAATCACTTTAGGCAAACAAATTGCCTATAATCATTTTGGCTAAAAAGCCTTAAATCATTCAATTTTGGCGACAATCGTCTAAATAATCAATCTTTTGGCAATAATAAGCCCAATTAATCTTTGGCGAGCCCAACTTATCTTTTGGCAAGAATAAGCCCAAATCCTTTCTTTAGGCAAAAAGCCTCAAATCAACATTTTGGCACCGAGTGCCTGTGACAATCAATTCTTTGGCAAAAGGCCTAAACAAAAATGCACAAAGCATACACACACTAATAAGCCCAAATCCTTTCTTTTGGCAAAAAGCCTCAAATCAGCATTTTGGCACCAAGTGCCTGAAACAATCAATTCTTTGGCAAAATGCCTAAACAAAAATGCACAAAGTATACACACACTCATGCATCAAGCATCCCATCTAAAGCCCTCTAGAAGAGGCCTATCGAACTACGTGGACTTTGATCTTCCATTCAAACGGAAGTAACTTCGGGATTCTACCCCGCAGCGGCAAGTCGTCAATCATTCCAAACTCACTAAAACAGTCCATTGAGTCCAAAAAAGTCATCTTGGGGCAAAAAAAAAAAACCCAAATTTTTTTTCCAAAAATTTTTTTTTTTTTGTTAGGTTTCATCAGCATGGACATAGTCTCGGGATCCCCCTCAGGGTCGCAGATTATGCCTTAGACATTGGGATAATTAACTCCAGTAACTAGCGTTAATTAAAATGGAGTCATTTAGGGTTTTTTCCTAGCTTTACCCTAAGCAATAACAAGGTGGCGACTTCATACATTCACGTGCATTTCTTCCCTTAGTCAATGCATTCATATGCCTATGATTATTTTGGGGTAGGGGTTCAACAGTTCTGGCGGACTTTCACAGTTTGGCGACTCTGCTGGGGACCATGTAATCATTTTGCATGAAGAGGACTACAATTGTTGAATAAACTAACCTACCCTTCTTTAGGGCATTGCTTTACTATGCTTTGTTTTGCAGGGTACCTTGACAAAAATCGAGTGTTCTTTCTTTAAGAATACTCGATGAAAGGAAATTTGAACTTAATTGACAAATTTGATTAAGACATTTAAATTTATTGGTCTATTTGCACGATTGAGAATCTTTTTCTCCATTGCATAAAAAAATGAATTTCAAATGAATTTCTTCTCTCTCTGTTCAAACTTCTTCTGAGTCTGGATGGCAAGTAGCGCTGATCGGCAGGTCTCCTTGATTATGCCGACGGACAGCCAAAGCGTCCTCCCTGTTACCGCAAAACATCCCTAATCCTTTTGGGGTGGCCCATGAGTATGCGTATTGTCGGACCCACGCGAAACTCCTTGTTTCACATGTGGTTAGGTGTATCCATGCTCAAGGCAAGGTCCCCTTTATAGCCGATTCTCTATTTTTGCAGTCATAGCCATAGAACCTATCCTTTAGGACTGTATGCACCCAATGATGTTGAATTCATATCATTTAAACAAGATTATGACGTGTTGTTCATGCGCATTTCACGGACATATCATTAAAACATGGGGTAAACAGCAAAGAGAGCATGAAATACCCTTTTCTTTCAGTCAGGCATAGTTGGACAAGAGAGTTCAATTTCACCTCACATCCAGCTATCTGATACACCAACCCACTGTACTAATCTAGCTACCCTTACCCTTACAGGTGCACAATCCGAGCGCCCACCAAGTGCCAGACACACTACAGTGCTAATCACCAGCTTCCCACCAGCTTCACAGCTCGGGTTTGCACACCATGCCTTAATCATTGGGTTAATTAATCTAGTAACTAGGTTAATTAAAAATTGGAGTCACTTAGGGTTTTTTCCTAGTTTGCTCTAAAATAATTAAACAAGGTGGCGACTCACACATCACGTGCAAGCACTGGCTGCCCAAAGGACCGCCCTGATAGCTGAACTGGGTAATGGGAATGGTAATGGAAATGGGGCTTCCGCTAGGGGAAGTGGACCTGCGGCCTCCAATCAGGGTCCTGCTGCTGAACCTGCAAACCCTACCCTAAACCTGGATGGTATGCCCTCTAAAACTGCCTCTAAGCTGGAAGCTTAGAGGATGAGAGAAAAACTAGAGCTCCTATAAAGGTCCATCACTGCTCTCAAAACCCACAAGGAAGTGGTGGACATGGACTCCTTGTCCTTGTTCCCTGAAGCCCGGTTGCCAACTAAGTTCAAGATGCCCAACTCAAGATGCCCAACATGGACAAATTTGATGGAACCACTTGTCCTAAGACTCATCTGAAAATGTATGTAGGTGCTCTTAACTCATTTGGATTGAGCAGCGAGCTCCTTGCTCAGTTATTCCAACAATCTCTTACCGGTGCTGCATTGAGGTGGTTTGTCAGCTTAGACCGTACGATGAAGACCTGGGAGGATATCTGTAATGCATTCAATTCACAGTACCACTACAATATGGAGGTGGATGTTACTCGAAGAGAGTTAGAGACCACCAAGAGAACTAGAAACCACCAAACAGAAAAACAATGAACCCTTTTCCTCGTTCCTTACGAGGTTGAGGGCCAAGGCTGCCCAGATGATTAATCGGCCTTCTGAGCAAGAGCAGGTGGACATAATAATAAAAAACCTGCAGCCTATCTACCAACACCAGCTACAAACCCAGTACCTCCAGTCGCTCAATTGCCACTGCCACAAAGGTTAGGGATTCTATCCAAATGGGGCAACTGAAAGACGACTCAGGACCTCTAAGTACAAGAAACCAAGGCCAGCCAGGCACAGGTCACGAAGTGGCAAGATCACTTCCACCAACCCTTTACGAGTGGAATATGAGGAATGGTAATCAATCGAGGAGACATACAGCTGACCTTGCAATGGCGATCCTTTTGGTTGTTCCGAGAGGCTGTCAAGGCAACTTATATCAAGCCTTTAAGAAGCAAGACCACTCCCAATCCCACTACCGAGAAACTATAAGGCGGTATGAATACTGCGAGTATCATCAGGGATATGGGCACAGACTGAAAGCTGTGGGACGCTCAAGAACCTCAAGAACCGCATACAAGACCTGGTAGACAATGGGTCAATCATCCCAAGAAGTAAGCCAAGCATTAGCACTAATCCCTTACCAAATCACGGGGTAAATGCTATTGGTTCTGACCAGAAGTTAATCGATCCTTTCGAGTTATTTTTGGAAATGAATAACATCTGTGTCTTGGATTTGAATGACCTGAGCGAAGAGGTCGATGCCATTACTAGGAGCGGGAGACAATATGAACCGTCAGTTTTGGACAAAATTCAAAATAAACCCTACCAGAGTGCAGAGGAGCCAAAGGAGGACCCGGTGCTGTCACAATTAAAAAAGACACAAGCTAGGGTGTCAATCTGGGAACTTTTGGCATCATCCTTTCCTCTTTCCTCATCGCCAAGCTCTTTGTAAGCTTGAGATCAAACTCCACGACGCTTGTGGAAGTTAAGCCCTGACAGTCCTAGTATACCACTCTCACCCAATCATCTAAAACACAAGGCATCGGTCTTTCTCTGATGATGATTTGGCCCAAGGAGGAGGCAGTCATAAACAATGCCCTCTTATGTCACTGTTCAGATCGAGACAAAACCGTGCCCATGGTTCTCATTGATAATGGCGTTCGGCTGACGTCTGCCCACTGAGAGTAGCCAAGCTGCTCTAGGAGTTGGAGGAAAACTGACTTTCACTCCCTCGGACAGATAGTGAAGCCATATGACAGCACCCGGAGGGAGTGTTGGGGGTTGCCACGCTGAAGCTAACAGTTGGGCCAGCTGTGATGGAAGTCCCGTTCCAGGTGATTGATGTACCGACTAGCTTCAACCTGTTTCTGGGCCGACCGTGGATACATCACACTAAGGCAGTACCCTTATCTCTGCACCAAAAGGTCAAGTTTCCCTATGAAGACAAAGTTATCACCATACAAGGGGATGACTACAGTCAGCTCAAAAGGCCAAAGGGCCAGCGTCTCTTCGAGGTCAACCCTGAAACTGCCAATTTACCCCTTTCTAGATTTCAATACGACACTGTGCAGTTTATAGAGGGAA